GCAAGCCCCGATGAACAGCCACCGCTGGCGAAGAGAGGGAGGGAGTGGTGCACAAAACAGTGGTTATTTAGGTACTGTTGCTGCTGCTGCTGCGGTGGATGTGGTGCGGTGTAGTGTTGGAAATTGGTTATTATCTGGTTGCTAAGAAGAGTGTCGATAAAAAGTTACGGTAATAAAATACTACACTTAAAATTTTGTGCAAACTTTGCTGCCAAAACAGAATTTATGTTGTGCTTTGCAAAAGTGCTCTCAAAGTTCCTGAAATACGTTTGTATGTATGTAGAACAAGAAGAAGCGATTAAATATAATTGAATGAAATTCCTCAAGTTAAGCTATCTGCGAATAATAACTTAAATTTCAAATGTGTAAAAGGTTCAATGAGGGAAACTAAATACTTAGCAATGGATGATGATGGCCCTAATATTTTTGTATGCACTTTAGGGTGGTCCTTAAATGTAGGAAGCAAATTTTTACATAAGCCTCAACCCCTACGCGGATGCTAATATAGTCATATTATCGCATATAAATTTTGGTCCCAAGTGGAGACGGTTAAGCCGTGTCGCACAGGGGGCAAAGTCCAGATTCCTCTATGGAGACTCAAAAAATTAAAATAAATTTTTGTTTCGTCTAATATCCAAAATCGATACTTCTATAGTCGAAGATATCACATACAAATTTTGGTCCGGATTTAAGTCGGTTAAGTTTGTATGTAGATAAATGGGCCTTAAAAGCTGATTGATTTTAATTAAAACTAAATTATTATGTTAAATGAAAAATGATTTTTGATTTACGAAGAGATATGCACGATATTAGTCATTCACCTGAGGCAGTGGCAATCGCATTGCCATTTTCGAATTTTTGGTATACAAAGTATTTTTTTTTTGGTTATTCGCCGAAAGGTTAGTGCGATTTTGAAAACGCATTCCCTGAGCTACTTACTTTTTTTGTTCTTTTTATGTTAGGATAAGTATTTTAGCCCTAGAACGGTAAACCCTTTAGCAATTACGTTCTAAGCTAAACTCGGTAAATTTTACTACTAAAAACATTAAAAATTCGTTTAAGATTCAAAGTACATATGCAATTTTTTAGGTTTTTTTTAATTATTTGATTTAAAAATTATTCAAAACAGTTTGATATTTTTACTACAGTTATTGCAAAGTTTAGCACGATGCTCAAAGCAATATGGTTGAAAAAAGAAAATACACTAGTAAAATTTACGAGGATTACCTTTCTAGGGTTCAATTATATCTCCCTGAAGTCTTCTTGGACGTATTAGGGTGCATATCAAATCATCTTGTCGATGAGATTATCAATTCCCCGGGGTTTTGCCACCATTTAGTTATCGAAATGAAAGTCTTCTTGATTTCGGGTTTGCAATACAGTATTGTTTTGTTTATTTTTATATCAGATCATTTAACCTAAACACTAAATAATAATGAGTTAATTAATATCTAAAATATTATAATTTTTTGATAGACAAATTTTAGACTAAATAAGAAGTTCGATTATTTTTAAACAATTTTCTTTATACATATGTATGTTTGTAAGTAACTAGAAAGTACGTAATCTGTTTGGGTATACATATCGATGGCCCTCTGCAATAACGGCACAACCCGAAATTAAAGAAAAAATAAAACCCTTTCTGCTGTTAAGTGTCTCATGTCTGTAATCTTTGTCTGATTCACGTCTAATTCTTACTTCTTACTTTACTACTTCTTACTTTAATAAGGATTAGATATACATTAAACCAGGATGAAACACTTAACAGTAGTGTTTTTTGTTTTTTTTTTTTTTTGAATTCTAAGTTGTGCCGTTATTGCACAGGACTGTCGATATGTATGTATGGACATATCTCGCAGTTTAACATGGCACACGAAAAAATATAATTTATGAGTATTTTTTACACAATTTTACTAATTCATCATCATATACCACAATATTTGGTTAATTACTAATTATGAATTTTACAAAAAATGTTGCTGATCTCAGATTTTTATCCACATATGTATGTACATTAGACTGCCCCACGTGTATGGAAAAAATTTTGTTTGGACATCAAAAAAATTAATTAAACTGAAATATATTTTTGCAATTTTTATCCTTCAATATCCTTTTATATTATATTATATTAGACGTACATTCTCCAAAATGCATTCAAAATTAAAAATCTTGAAGGATAATATTTTTAAAGGATATTTTTGACATGTTCCAAAAGGATAATTGAAAACAAACGTTATAATTAACCTTGTTTTGAATTTTTCTTTTAAATGATACCCATATATCCATATTTTTTGTATGGTTTTGGAAACATATTACAATTTATGGTCCTTTGGAAAAAATCCTCAGTACTTGGTAAAAAAAAACTAAAAACGTAGATTTACTAAATTTTATGTCCTAATAAGTAAAATGAGTAAGTTAAGCAAAAAACACGCGAACTGCACAAAGATTATTCCGATAAGTTTGACTGCAAATTGGCACGGGTTGCTGTGATCCGAATTGCATCAAATTTTATTTGGCTAGTTTTTAAGACCAAACCAATAAAATTAGGAGGTATGCGTTAAAAAAACAACTTTTTTTTTTTTTTTTTTGGGACAGTCTAATGTACATATGTATGTGTATATACATATATACATAAGTCGCATAAATATTTAGTTGATTAAATATAATTACAATGAGAGTTGTAACTTGAACTTCGTACTTCCTATATATGTCGGTATGTATGCCCTAATGTACATATGTATATGTATTTATGCATATCTCTCTCTGCAGCTACATACATATGTGTGTGATTTATATGAGTGTTGCATTAAAATGTAATTTAATTAAATAATAACGCAGAATGGAAATTAAAAACCGCAAAATAAATTCATTTAATTAAATATGCATATATAATTAGGCTGTAAAAACTGTTAAAAGTGGTCGAAGTCTGTCGGTGGTATGCGGGCAGTTATGCCAAATCACTGTGCAACACTAATGCAACTAGTCAAAGGTGAACAAATGCAAATTGTTTTTAGCATTTGCAGACCACGAAAAATTTGCAAAATAAAGATATTTGTCATAGCGTTAATTGAAATTTAATATTGTGACAGGTTCAAATGGCTTCTTCACACATCCATACATACGTACAGTATGAAAAAAAAGTATTGTCATTTGAAATATGTATTAGAAGGGATTGAATTGAGAGCAATGACCTCAGGTAGGACAAAGTGATTAGATATGCATACATATGTACATATATGTATACTTTTTTGTAGTGTTGCTTAATGCATACATACACCTATCGCATTTATGAATACGCACTTTTTATTTTTATTTTTTATAAATACGCATCTGTACATATAAAATACCAGTAAAGATGTAAGATAGGATTACACAGTTTTTAACCGACTTTACAAAAAGGAGGAGGTTATCAATTCGTTGGACCACGTTAACCGACTTCTATAACTCTTTTTTTTTTTAAGAAAGATGGTACCTCAGAGGTGGTCCCATTCTAAATGGGACTTATCTCGACACTTGGTCGTTGTCCTCTGATTCCATTTTTAAATCCTTATCCAGCCAAAGTCGCAGTCTTAAAAACATTTTTTATAAAATTTAAAACATTTTTTGCCTTTATTTGCAAGTCGCGTTTTAACACTACAAAACAGCTACGGAAGCCAGACAAATATTAGTGGAAATTTATGGTGAAGATGTAATTAAAAATATATGTTAGAAGTGTTTCGATAGCAAAAACTGACGAACTTAGCTAGGCATACCTGACCTAAAGGCAGTTGAGTCGAAGATATCTACATATAAAAGCGGACGGAAACACGAACTACTCAGAAAGAAAAATTACACTGAAGTTGGCACAACGCCGAAACCGGTTTGACTCCTAACCAAATTGGACAAGGAATGACGGAAAATCATTCCACCGATTATTCGATTCGTAACCGTTCGCATGCTTATTAGTCGGTTAATGGTATTCGAATAGTCGCCCGCCTTCGATTATTCGAATAGTTGCTTTGCTTCGACTACTCGAGCATTGTAGCAAATCGAATTTCAGTAACCGAACTTTCATTGAAACTTCTTTGACAAATGAAAAATTTTTTTTTTAAATATATACATGCACACATATGTATGTATATTCAGATACAAAAATGAGCGGACGCAAAGGGAGCTGGGTTTGGGATTTTTTCGAAAAATCAGAGGACGAAAAGGAAGTAACATGTTCCATATGTGGTGCAGTTTTGTGCTACAATCATCCACATCCTCACTGAACAAACATTTAACAAAAATCCATAACAAAAACTCGCGAAAATGAGAGGTAGGTATTGCTTTAGCCATTGTCTCTAAAATATTTCGCAATAACATTTCAATAATTAGCGCACATTCTTGCAAAAAAAGTTTGCCTTAATTTTGCACATGCAATCTTATATATGTACTACGAATGTAACAAGACTTTTCATATATGTATATGTATCTGTAAATGCAAAAAAAAACTCGAACTTAAAATATTCGATTAACCGAAAATGAACGGTTAGCCGAATAATCTAAAGTGAACGGTTATCCGAATAGTCGACAGCTTTCGACTACTCGAATATTGCTAACCGATTAACAGTAGTCGACTTCAGTCAGATTCGAATAATTCGGTTAATCGATTAACCGAATTGCCCGAGCTCTAATTCACAGCCTTAAAAGCTGCATAAAGAAAACGAAACATGGGTATTCTTATACATTCCTTATTAAGAGTGGCAGCGAACACAACCTAACCTATGGTGAATGCCTACCGAAAAGTGTTGTAGAACAAAAAAAGCTTTACTTTTCTATGTAAATTTTGACTAGTTCCAATCTTATTTGAATATAAGTGGAGAATGCACTCAATTTACAACTTTCTATGCTTTTTATTCAAAGTTTATGTCTGTATTCTTAAATTGCATTAATGTATCAAAAGGGCAGAAATCAAGTACGTATGATCACTATAAAAAATTTAAAAGCGTATTTAATAAACAGCAATTTTTTGATAAAACTATTAAACTTTTCTAATAACAACTTTTGATTTGGACATCCCTTATATATTATTATGCTCAGAGATTTTGAGCAACTTAACATCTACGTATACATCTACACTTTTTGGGAAAACAAAGGTTTCTTCTGAATAGCTCCTCCCGCCTTCGTCCACACGAATATTTTGAACGCTGGAGATTGCGCTGCTAAACCAGAGTGTTTCTTTCCGTTCATAAATCGGCTTCGTTCGGTGTCATCAAAGCGAAGTTTCGGCTTTCTGGTTCTTCTCTTTACAATTAATGCATCAGAGTCCGCGCGTTCTAATCTACTCAGTCTAAGATGCAGCTGCTGAGCTTTGCTTAAAAGAAGACAGAAAGATAGAAAATACATATGATCTACGATGCAAGTCACTGATCAACGAACATCCGCCAATTTCTGCAACGAAAAAAAACGGCATCTTTTAAATCTTAAATCACCAGCGTTGTTTTGAACTGTCCCATAATTTAATTTTCATATTGGCCCGTTTACTTGAAATCTGTAGGGAAATTCAAAGTGTGTTTTACTTATATCCTAGAAATTGGAAAAGAAAATTATTATATCTGCAGCATAAAAGTTTTCCACCCTGGCTTTGCTGACCGTTCTGTAAATAAATGGATTATATATGTATTATTTCGTTGCGCTGAAAATCTAGAAAAAAGTGGATTATTTTCGCTAAAATTGAAACGGTTAAAATGCTGCAAAGAAAATCCGATTATATTTTAATTAAAAAGAGCATAAAGAATATTAGTCAGGTATTTTGTAGGTCGTTCCGATATCGACCGATTCCAGTGTTGATTTCATTCGCTTATCGCTTGCAAATCCAATGGCAATCCAATCTAAACCAATCCAATTCCAACCAAACCAAATCAACGACGACGACGACAACGACGAAGGCGACGATGTTGACAACAACAACTCTGCAAATAGACTTAAATGCTCCGCCAGGGGCAGTGATAACAAAAAATGAGAAAAATAAAGTTGGTAGCAGTAGTAGCAGTACGAAATTGAAAAAAGTAACAAAATCATACATAGAATTGGCTGAAAATGGCCAACAATTGCTAAAGCTTCTGCTGCTGCTGTTGCCACCATTGGTAAACGTGTCTTTGTGAATTAAGTCCTTCATGTTGCACATACTTTCTCTTGCGTAAATATGTACTTTGAGGTCTGTGAGTGGGGGTGGCGATGTGGCTCGGCTGGGCCTACAATCGGCAGGGCCATTGGGGAATTGAGGTGTGAGGTGCTCCTGGAACTGCCTGGTCACAAAGCATATAGCTTACACAACAGTCAATATGAATGGTTATGAAGGCGACGATGGGGGCTAAGTGGAATGGGGGGGGGGACAAAGTAAAATGAAATACTAAAGTGGCAGCACACTCGCTGCTTTATAGCCTAGGCAAAAAGTAGGCAGGCAGGCAGGCAGGTGGTCGAGCGGTCTGGTGAGATGTGGGGATCGCACTCCACACTCTCTTCCACACTTTTGCTCGCAAGCAACTCTCCGCCGCACATCGCACACCGCCCACTGCTCTGGCCGACTGCCTGCAATTTTGTGGCGTAGCGGTGCAAATGGATTTGAAAATTGGGTTAATTGATGCTTAGAGCCAGTGTATGGCTGAGTGCGGCCAGGCTGTTGGCGGAGAGCAATAGCTTTGAGGTAACGTCGAGTGTAAATGGCTGCGGTGGTGGGTGCTTGATATTGCAAAGGAAATGGAATAAAATGCGAAAGTGTGACAGGCGTTGCAGAAACAGGTGTAAAATAACAAAAAAAAAAACGTAAAAAAGTGACAGAAAAAACAACAACAACAAATCAATGAGAACAGAAGAAACCAAAAGAAATGAAAGAAAGAAGAAAAACAAATTAAATGGAAATGAAAACGAAAATGAAACTAAGTGTACTAAGTGTCAGTGCGGCAACAACTATTGCATTCACGTATACATATACAAAGGAAAGGACGTGACAAGCAAACAGACTGACGGCCGAGAACTCGTGCGACAACTGGCAATTTTGCCAGCAGCGCATGAACGACTCGGCTACTGAACTTTGCCTGCGGTTATAGGTGGGAGGCGCACGGACGGTGGGTGCTCAAGTGGCTAGCCTACATTCTTGGCAGCTGCTGACCTGCTGATTGTGCAAATGAATGAGTTGGGAGCAGGAAATTGTGGTACACAGAGCGCGCTATATTGTTTAATCAGAGGCAATACGGGCCAATGGAACATCGATGTTTAGTAAATTTAACTAAGAGCTGGTTAGGGCGGGGAAAAGTGGAATGGTGGCAAACGGAGTGCCGCCCTAGGTGGTGTTACACAATTGAAAGTTTTTTTTTTTTTTTGTTGCTTACTTGTATTATTTGCAGTGAATTCAAAAGATGGCTATGCCTTATAAATTAAATGGGACACAATCTCTCTCTACTATGAAAGGTGTTAGGCGCTAGGTACCGATAAAAGGGTACAAAAAAGGCTTTAAGACGCACATTCATTGCCGCTATAAAAGAAGAGGTACTAGAAAGTTTTATTGAGGAAACATTTCAATGGAATACAACTTTTAAGGAGGCAAAATGGCACCCTTATTACTAGCAACGACAGTGGACTTCTGAAATACTTGCTTCAAGTTTATTTTCTAGGTTCTTACGTGGAGCGGGATCGCCTGACTTGAGCCACTTCGAAGCATAGGTTCCGCAGAGTGAGAAGACCTAGCAGTTCTGGCTTTATCTTTGACATTGAAGCAGTACGGATAGCGGTAGAGACCTTTAAACAATTTAAAGCAGAATGCGGTGGTTGTTTCTTTCCAGCACTAATCGCCTAGCCTAGTCAATCCCTTTGGGGCCTTTTATACGTGGAATTATATCCGTTTACTTAGAGTATCTAAGTATTTCTAAATCGGGCAATGAGATTTTCAACTCCCTTACATCATACCTACTTACACTCTTACTGGGAGAATCTTGCACCGTTATTTTGGTCTGTAGTGATGAGAGACGTTCCAATTAAAATACAGGAGTTTTGGGCATAGCGCATACTTAGAGTGCGGTATTAAACGGGTTTACCCACTGGGGTACTGTTTTTATACCGTTAATCAGGAGATATGAGCAGAATCTTGGTGCGGTTACCTTTGGAGGCACATTGTTTGAATATTGTGAGAAAGTCAATTTCCCATCAAAACAAAACTTTTTGCATTTCCTCCCGAGCCCTGTGGACTTGCGGAAGACTTCTTGGCCTTAGTCTCAGATATATATGTTACACAGACAGGTCAAGGATGGAAAACAGAATAGGTGTTTTTGGACCCGACAATGCGGTGGGCAGATCATCCACTGTCTTTCAGGCAGAGCTGCTAGCCCAGATTAAAACTTGAAAGGCAAGCATGCTTCGGACTTTAGGGCATTAAACGAAAGATTGACAAATCTCAATGAAACTTATACAATAGGCGACAGCAGCAGCAGTTTCAAAAACATGGAAGGTAGATACAAGTACAAAAGGTGTTAGATATTAAAATACGTACAATTACATAGATAAATTTCATAAAAATTTCTGCAATAAATGATTTTAATTGAACATTATTTTGAATACCCACCGGGACTACCCAAATCCGTGATGTTCGCATTGGTGGTGTCAACGCCGACTGCGAGGCCGTTGACAGTGGGCGCTAACCGCAAGAGCAGCAGGATGCTTAGCGACAAACTGAGCGCGCTGCAGGTGCTAAAGCCAGCGCTCAACGCAGCACAGACGGATGATGACGACAATGACGCGCCTGCTTGCGTGCGATTGTTGCGCGTTGGCGTGCGCGCGCTCTCATTGGGCGTCGCTGTTGCCACTGTGTCTGGTGGCAGTGCGGATGCGGCGAGCGAAAATGTGGCCTTAGAATTGTCATTGCCACAGAGCACGCTGCTAGTTTGGAGCTGTTTCGCGCGTCGATACTTCTTATAACTGCTGCTGCGTTGCTTTGACGTTAGCGCCGACGCCGATGCCAGCGAACTATGTGCGCTGTTGTTGATCTCGTCGCCGCCACTGTTGCTTCGGCTGTAGCTGTTGTTGTTGTTGTTGTTGTTGCTGTGATAGAACATCATTTTCCATTGGATTTATGTCGCTCCAGTGGTGAGACAACAACAAGAGCGCGCTTCTTTCCGTGCTGAAGCTGAGGTTGGGGCTGATGACGATTGACGTTCTATTCACTGTAGTCTGGTGTGTATAGTTCTTTATGTTGTTTTTGCACTGTTGAATAGAATGTTGATAGCATGTCATCGTTTAGTACGCGTAAGCACAGAAATAAATTTAGTTTGTGATTTCTTTTTCTTCTTATAAAATAACTTGCATATTTTTTTAACTTTTAATTTATTTCAATTTAAATATTTATTTTTTATTACACTTTTTGTTTTTGTTACAGCTGGCAGCAAATATCCGCTACGCCTTCTCCGCGCTAAGCGCTACAACTGTGCGCCGAATCAGCGGGCGGCCAACGTCGCACAAATGTTTGTATTGTAAAGTCTGCGGGTGGGCGTATGGGCGTATGGGCGTGGCAGTGCGTTTGAACGCGGATACGCGTTGGTTGGGGCTTGTTACGCGCTTGAATTGAATCAGCGGCTTTATTTACACACAAAGCAGCTGCGCTTCATCAATGCTCGAATGTTTTTTTTTTTTAAACGGCTGCCCTCCTCTTTGTTCGCGCCTCCCTCGTAAAACTGTCAATTTACCGCTGCGTCGTCGATGTTGAAGTGTGCGATTTGTATCTTTCACTCACTATTCAGTTGTCTCGACAGTTTATATAGAAATTTATTACTTGTTTACAAATTCACTCGGTTCACTTGGGTGCCTGCTGGGTGCTGGGAGCGTCGCATACGAATTCAATACGTGACAAGCTCACTGACTCGCCGCTTCAACGGTTCGCTGACTGACTTTGCAGACTGTCTATTACACTGCGCAAGCGTGTGTTGCACTACAAGTACGTTTGCCACAATTGGTGCACATTCGGAATTGACTAACTGACTGACTGACTGACTGAATGAATGGCTGACTTCATTGAGGTGCGCTGACAGGCTGACTGACTGCAGCACCGCACTGCGTCTTCGTTACAGTTGTCTGTCAATAATAATGGCGAGTATGCGCAGCTCGCTACAAATCGCAAACAAATCGTCGTTTACTATCTATCGTATTTGCAGGGGGGCGGGGAAGCCAGCTATCACTCAGCACATTTAGTTTTACACATTTTGCTTGAATTTATTGTTTATTTTTGTTATCCTTCTTCCTGACCTAGGGATATGAGATCGCCGGAAAACTTCTAAAGAAAGGAGCAATCAACCCCTTTCATTCGCCACGAGCCCTTTCGTGGCATGGCCAAAGAAGACGAAGAGGCTTCCAAAGACCGCTACTGCGACAGTCCACCAGATGTGGAGCAATCCGATGAGATTAGAGGAATATATAAACTACAACATCTTAAGGAATGCATGAGTTTATCCAAGAAGAAATTTCGAATCATTACGGGAATTCTTTCCGACACTACAGGCCGAGCTATCACCTGACTAAACTGGGAGCTTACTCGCAGAAGCGATGAAGATTTTGCAGGAAGGATATCGAAACTCCACAGCACATTTTGGAACAATGTCCTGCACTGATGAACAAAGGCAGCAGCCAATTTTGTGATCATTTAATAATCGACGGCGCAGTGGCATCAAAATATTAAGGCTCACTACTAAAATTTCTCGGTGATACTGGATTAAAACCATCGGGCAGAAGAAGACCTAGTTTGCGAGTCTCCGAACTCAGCACATACATACATACATAGAAGTAGGATACTTTCAAGGACACGATTAGAGTGGCACTGTATCGCACAGTCTGCCAGAAACAAAATAAATTTCAATTTGATTTCCATGCTTCCTATTTAACGTATTTGCAGATACTTTCTTGGTTGAACGGAAATTTTGGTTGTACTTTATAACAGACTAGTGCGTATAGCCTTGAGAGGATTTCTGGAAGGCTAAGCAAGATTAGGAGCCACCGTGCTTATTTCCAAGGTTAAGGGCTTAATGCGATTAATTGATTTGCACCTCTCTGCGTTGAATAAAAGCTCCTACTGGGTTATCAGAAAATAAACTTTCGCATAACTAAATGAAATTGTTGCTTGTGTGGATTAAACACGATTGTTAGGCAGTGCGTATGCGTTATTGGGCGAAAACACATACATACATACATACATATGCACATAATCGCTTATACATATGTACAAAATAGGCTACGATGTTATCTGCGGCTAAAATTGGAATTAGAATAAACTATGTATATTTTAATTATATGTACACAAAATGTCTGCACGTATACATATGGATGCATGCATGTACATATATTAGAGCGGGTTGATTTGTATGGATGAAAAAAAAATTAAAAATCGTATAGCAAAAACGTAATCTACATTAAATTCTAGGAAAATTCTCTGAATAAACCATGTATCTAAAATCAAACCCTAATCCGCGCCTCTCGACTTGAAAATTTTTTTCCTCCTCTTTCGCTAAAATTATTTTCTTTTTTTGAAATATATTATGTTTTATTATATTATATTATAGTTTATGCAATACAGGTTTTTGCATCTCCTCTCATTTGCGTTCTATATAAAAAATAGTTAGAAGTTAGTTTTTTAATGAAAAAAAATTTTGAGTGTACAAAAAATATAAAGTGCAAAAGAACTACCTTATTTTTTATTCAGAAAATTCGATTTCTTTTTGGAAACCCCATTTTTTCTAACATTTATTTTGTTTGGCAAAGGCGGCCATATAAATTTTCAAGTCGAGAGGCGCGGATTAGGATTTTATTTTAGATACATGGTTTCTTCGGCGAATTTTCTTAGAATTTTATGTAGTTTACGTTTTTGCTATACGATTAAAAAAAAAACAATCAA